ATTCCAACAATTGATGTCCTTCCGGTTCTTGGATTGCCCTCTCTTTCTCGACTTCGATCTTCCTTTCTTGTTACCCCCCTCTAGTGGATTTTCTGCCCCTATCTTCAGTACTCAATAAACTATTGGAGCTATCCCCCGAACTCCTCCTCCGGATATCCTCACCAAGGATTAAGTCACGAATACCTTCAAAGGTAAGTTTAGTGGTTCCAGATGAACTACTAACCGCTGTGACTGTACCGGACCAACTATCGGGCAAAGATGATAACAAAAGTAATGCTTGGACTTCATCATCGAATTTAATCTCAACCGAGCCTAACCTGGATATGATTGAATTAAACTCGTTGATGTGATCTGCCACGGATGCACCTTCCTTCATTCTTGTATTCACCAACTGTCTAATCAAGAAAACCTTGTTTGCTGCTGAGGGTTTCTCATACATGTTGGATAACGCCTTGAGCAGTCCAAACGTTGTCTTCTCGTTGACGATGTTGTAGGCAACGTTCTTCGCCAACGACAACCTCACCACACCAAGAGCCTGTCGATCCAACAAATTCCATTCCGCCTCCGTCATCGTTTCTGGTTTGTTCTCAGACAACGGTTGATGAAGCTTCTTCTGGTAGAGATAATCCTCGATCTGCATCTTCCAGAAAGCGAAATCTTGACCATCAAATTTATCGATCTTAACCTTCCCTTCGTCAGCCATAGCTCTGATACCAATTGTTACGATTAGGCAAAGATAAACGATAAATTAAGAGCAAGAACACAAGAATTAACGTGGTTCACACAATCGGGTTGATTGTGCTAGTCCACGGCGAACGAGAGAGAGTATGTATTATTATCAGCGTCCCAAGAGGTTTACAAGTACATAAGAGTCGTTTAAATAGGTTTAGGAAAACCTAAACTGAGATTAGAGCCGCAGGCCCAAAATTAAGCCTGTTTTTAAAATTCCCGTCGCCTGACCCGGTCGGGTCTCTTATTTGACCCGGTCGGGTCTCCTTCACAGAACACAAACCCGGTGGAAACCAGGTCGGGTTTCCAAAACAGAAGGCTTCTGACTTGCTGACCCGGTCGGGTCCCTTCACTGACCCGGTCGGGTCTCACGTCCAGTGAGCTCCCAGGTCTTCTGCTTCAACATACCCGGTCGGGTCCTTCATCTGACCCGGTCGGGTATCAGTTCTGAAATTCTGAACAAGACTCCATCTTCAACATCAAGTTAGTATCTCCCTCCCCCGCTTCCTATACCATATACACAAACTGGATGAGTTCGATCCATATAAAGTTTTTATATATCGTATAAATTTTTGTTGACATATAAAATGGATGTTTTTATTAAATTTGGAGCGATCTTAATTGAGCCTATGATTTAGACTGGACCCCGAATGACATTACAATCCCGTCTTTAGATCGCTGTTCTTATGAATTTCATTTCTATTCTATTGGCTCTAAACTCAGAGAAATTAGACACGAAGACATTTAATTGAGTCTATCTACGTTAAATTATATCACACACCCGATTGCACTACGCGCACAGTACAACCAGACTTTTAGTTACCGCTCGTTGCTTCAATCGCCATTCGCTATTTGCTCGCTGCTTTTCCTTCCCTCATCGTACGCAGATGGACAGCTCGCCACTCGCAATGATCTCTCCTCCTCCAACACGAATGCAACACCTTGTCCTCTGGCTTGCACAAAGACGGCGGCTTTGCCGAGTGTGTACTCCAGAGCGCTAGTATGTTATCACCTCTCTCTCTCCACTCTTTTCTTTTTTATCTTTTCCTTACGCAGGTTTGGCGATTTTGGTGGCTTGTTTGCCGCAGGTGAGGAGGAACCTAAGTTATACGTAGTTTTACTGACATGAGCATACACAAATAAAAATTTGAGGATAATAGAGAATTTATATGCGTTTTTTAAATTTTTCGATGCTCATTTCGTAATTTATGTATGCTCATTTGATAATGGTGTAATACTCATTTTGAAATGTCATATTCATGCATATTTCAAAAGTATAATATTACACTAAGTTCACATATTGGATTCATACGAGTTCATTGTAGATATTTTTTTTTTTAAAAAAGAAAAAAAGTCAATTATAAGATATGAAGCCGATATCACGACTCATTATTAGACTCAGGGGCGTAGACAGGGGGTGGCCAACCCTGGCCATGGCCCAGCCCAAATTTTAAAAATGTCTAAATTTTTAGGGTAAAAAATTTCGAGTAAATTTTTTTCCAAAAATATTCTTTGTACCGGCCCAGTGTCTTGGCTCCGCCCCTGATTAGACTCAATATTCAGTAGAATAGATCTGAGCACACTAAAATTACATTAATGCTCATTTAACGAAAGCCAAGATATTGACATAAATTACGAAAATGCCACCAGTTGTACGCTGCTCACCATACAGCCGGTTGTATGGTACGAACTCGTCTATATACGACCTTATTCTTAGTAGCACGAAACAATAGAAGCATATGTCTTCAAATATTGAGGACTAAGGTTGTAAGTGAATCAAATATTTTGCACTCGGTTCGTGATTCGAAGTCGTGTATGACTATTTGAATTCGAAAAACTCAAATAAGCATTCAAACACGGATAATAATGACGATAGTAATATAATAGGTAATATAAAAAACAACAACAACAATTACGGAGTATAATAGCAACACAATGTACCAATGTTCTAAAAGGCGCTAGGTGTTAATCGAATGCCAGCCCAGCCTAGCGCATAGCGCATAGACGGCTAGTCGGGTGCCTATGTGCCTAGGCAAGGACTAGTCGAAGACATATGTATTATAGTTTTATCAATACTTTTGCATAAATATGATTAGTAATGTTGTGTTTGTGTGTGTATATAATATACATACACATTAACATGCATGAATGATAGAGTTGTCACATTTAATAATATATTATACCTACTCACTTAACTTCAGTATGTAATAATATTATTCAATAATAATACATTTAAGATTGTATACAAACATGTATAGTTTTTATTTTAATCTACAACTGGTAGCTTTCTTCATCTGCACTGTTAAAATTATATGTATATATATCTCTCTTAGAAAACAAAAATAAACAAGCCAAATAATGGTGAAGGGTAAGATCAGGGAAGAAGACATAAATCTTCAATGACATAATATATGGTGAAGGGTAAGATCAGAGGTCTATTCCTTCAACCCTCGGGTCCAACACGTAAGCCCAAGGATTTCGAGTGGATTGTTAAGTGTGAGTGATTAACTGACCCAACAAGCAAATAAGATGGATAAAGGGAAATTGAATGGGTAAAGGACTGGATATTATTAATGATGAATAATGCCCCGGTACAATTACACTTGCTAAGGCCGAAGGCCATTCGTCTTACATTGCAGTGGAAGAGCTGCGAGTAATAACGTAATAAACTAGAGTGCTCAAGATAATCAGTTGCCAACCCTTTACAATGAAATAAATGCAGCTATTTATACCACCAATGGACGGTTGGCTACACTGACGTGGGATGCTGTGAGTGGCCGGTATCTCAACCACCAAATTTGCAGCATTAAATGCGCTTCCCGCCAGAATTAGGGTTTCCCGCCTAATTCGTGGAGACGAACGTCTAGTTGGGCCGGGGCCTGCTCCTGGTGACACTGCAAAGGGTTGTGGGCCGTTTTTACTCTGGCCCTTGGAGAATTTGTCATATAGGTTAGATTGGGCATCATGTGGTTGCGGGCCTTTGGTGGCGACGTTCGTCGCCACGACGTTTGCTTGCGGGCTTGATCCACCGTTATCCTGTCTGGACGTTCGTCGGGGTGGGTTGCCTTGTTGGGCTGGACGCTCGTCCAAATGAGGGGGTAAATGGGCCGATCCTCTATTTGGGCCATTAACCCAACATCAGTGAAGGGTAACAAAAATAAACAAGCCAAAATAAATTTAGGCGAGATTTGATGAAGGGAAGAAGACGGAAGATGACGTCGTTGCTAAGATCAAGCTTGTGGTCTACAAGATACTCTTCAGTATCTACCCTCATGACTTGATCAAGTTTTGAAGTGGAGCTAAGGACTTTTTGGGAAGCCACGACTTAGCCTCTATATATACCGGATTTGCGTGTGTGCACCTTGCAGCACCATTATAGTTTTGATTTTTGACTTATTGGCCTCATATTTTTACGAATATGCCGAGATTGACTTAGACTAGACTATATGCCTCTTCTCACCCTTTCCTTTTCTCATGAAATAGGAGGGGGTGGGGGGGCTTTTAATTTTTGGACACATTGTACATGTTAAATTATAGAAATGTAAATTATATTAACACCCAAGCAAAATTTAACATGTACAATGTGTCCAAAAATCAAAAGCCCCCCACCCCCTCCTATTTCGTGAGAAAAGGAAAGGGTGAGAAGAGGCTTATAGTCTAGTCTAAGTCAATCTCGACCTATACGCAAAAATATGCGGCCAATAAGTCAAAAATCAAAACTATAATGGTGCTGCAAGGTGCACGCACACAAATCCGGTATATATAGAGGCTAAGTCGTGGCTTCCCAAAAAGTCCTTAGCTCCACTTCAAAACTTGATCAAGTCATGTGGGTAGATACTAAAGAGTATCTTGTAGACCACATGCTTGATTTTAGCAACCACGTCATCTTCCGTCTTCTTCCCTTCATCAAATCTCTTAGACCACATCGCTGCCAAAAAAACCACGCTAGCTGACATAAATCCTATATTTAGAGAAGAATACAATCTTATTTCTTTTTAGAACTTTTCCTATATTTAACTCCTATTTTGAGCAATTTTTTTTTGTAAAACTTTTTATAGGGGTAGAATTATGTTTGTTCATATATGAATATATATTCGAATATAATTGAATATACTGAAAAAGTTAATCAAATACAAGTATTCTTTTAAGTTCGAATACTAAACAAACAGAAATACGATTTGAGTAAAAATTAGAATTTGATATACAACGTATGAATAGTTGTAGAATGGTATAATAAAAATATGCTCTGGAGAGAATGTTTTCCGTCCTATCTATTGCATGCATATAAAATTACATATATACACGTTACAGCAGTGATCAAAAAGGAAAGAAAATAAACTATTCCTATTGTAATGCATAGCTGTAATGACTGTAGCTTCTAGACCAGGAAATGATTAAATAATGATTACAAAATAGAAAATAAATATACATCCTATTCCAAACGGATGTAAAGATGGAAACAATGTACTCCGTATATGTAATAGGAAGAAAGTCTGCTAACACCCCTCAAGTTGGAGCGGAGGGATCCAAAACGCCCAACTTGTGCATAAGATATCGGAATTGTTGAGCGCCTAATGGTTTAGTAAAAATATCGGCTAACTGGTGTGCTGAAGGTATATGCCGAGAGACCAAAGAGCCATTCTGTATTAGATCCCGGATGAAGTGACAATCAATCTCAATGTGAAGTGCAACTTTATTATCACAGTAGACAGTCATAGGCGAAGAAGCCGAGCACCCAAGAGAAGAAAGTAAGTTGCGAAGCCAAGAAGTTCACATCCTAAAGTGGCCATGGAGCGATATTCAGCTTCGGCAGACGAACGGGAAACAGTGAGTTGCTTTTTGGTTTTCCAAGATATAGGTGAATGACCAAGCATAACAAGATAACCCGTTAAAGAACGACGACTATATTGTCCATGAATAACTGGCCAACATGAATAATTTTTACCATATTGTCCATGTGGTGCAAATCCATCAGTACATAACCCTAAACGAACATTGCGTGCCTCTTTAGCGAATCTAGGATATGTGGTATCAAAATGCTTCCATGCCGGTGAATCTGATGGATGACACATCATGCCTTCTTGTGATCCGTGGTTCTTATGCCACGACATTTCACTCGCAGTAACAACAGAAGCATATAGTCTTTGTAACCTTGGTGCAAGTGGCAAATATCGAAGCGTGGTTACAGCTGTCAACTTATGTGTAACACCATCTCCTATACCTTTCTGCATCTTGTATCTTTCTTCTCCACAGAACTTGCAATGGTGTAAGTCCTTGTCATCTTTCCAAAACAGCATGCATCCCGATCTGCAAGTGTCAATATGATGGACAGGGAGGCCTAAATCTGATACTAACTTTCTCATCGCATAAAAACTCTCTGGGATGGTGTTAGGGCCTTCATGAGCATCTCTAAGCAATAACAAAAGTTCGGTCACACTAGCCTCTGACCAATTATGATCAGCCTTGATGCTCATTAATCTCGACACAAATTATAGCTGTGAGAACTTTGTACCACATCCATAAAGAGGTCGGTCCGCAGATTCAAGCACACGAAAAAAAAAGATCTGGAGAGTCATTTGTGATTGGTGCTGAAAATGACTCACTGGGACCTTCATCACTCGTGTTTGGAGAGCTATCATAATGCTCTGGAACATTATGCCCACCAATAGCATCGTTTACCATCCTTTGATCCCAATTCATATTCTCATAATCATTCCATTGAGTGGAACTGTTGCCAGACATAGCGGCCAATAAATTCTCTCGTTCAACGAAGCGCTCAGCATGAATAGGTTCACCTTGTGATGTCCAATTAAAATAATTTTCAATAAATCCATATTTGTATAGGTGCCATCGAACATCTTCTGGATCTTTATATGCCCTGTTCTTACAATTTTTACATGGACACCTTATTTTAGTACCATCCATATATGTCGGATTCGCACGTGAAAATGTAATGAAATCCTCAACGCCACTTTCAAATTCATCGGACAAATCATTATTTTGTAAGTGGTTATGATACATCCAACTCCTAGCACGTTTGTACATTGTAGCTGCAATACATGTATTCTATGCTTAAATATCAATGAAAATTAACTAACTAACATTGTATTAAAATTTTAATTGCATATTATTATTATTATTGTTGTTGTTGTTGTTATTGTTGTTATGATTATATTATTATTATTATTATTATTATTATTGTTATTAGTATTATTATTATTATTATTATCATCATAATTATTATTTTCATAATTATTATTATTACTATTATTATTACTATTATTGTTAATTTTATTATCATTGTTATTACAATTTTAATAATTAATATTAGTAGTAGTAGTATTATTACTATGTGATTTTTATTCTTCTTCTTATTATTATTTAATTTAATTGAAATGATGAATATTAGAATGACAGTGTACTTTGTAACAAAATCTGATAGGGTTTCCACTTTTCCCCAATGCGGAAACTTACATATTGTAGTTACTTATTATAATATACGAGTAATACAATTTTTTTTATATTTCATTTCAATAATCCCTATAAGAAAAATCTAAAAAGTGATAGTTACACAAAATATAAAATAACCAACATAATTAGTTACTCTAAATAAGTTACACTTTTAAACAAGATTGTGATTTAAATGTTTTAGTTGTTGAATTCCTTTTTTATAAAAATAATAAAAGATATTGATCAAGATGAAATTGATTTTGTAAAAATTCTATTAACCCAATATTGTGGTGTTTATTACAAATGAGACTATTCATTTAATATACTACGTAGTACGTACTAGTAGTTAATTAGCCTGCTAGATTAATACACACAGTAAAAGTCTTATTTATTTTGTTGAACATAAGAAGCCTTTTTATTTTACTAATATAATAACTACATTAATTAAAACAGAATGTATAATATAGTATGCTAGAAAGTACAACAAAAAACTACATTATTTAATATTTAATGTATGACCGATCATTTTTCAAAATATACATATTTTTAGAGTGACATTTTCATACAAAATTAATATTAATTGAGAGTTATTCTACTTTTCATATTACCGCCGTCCAAACAACTAATAATTATTTAAGTCGTTATTAAATAGCCAACATCAATTTAACTACAAGTTATGCATTTTTATGTTCCTAGCCTTTTTTTTTTGTTTACATGTTGAATTGTTTTTAAATAAGTAATTAAATAACTACTCTGTATTCATTAAACAAATTTGATACAAACAACATTTTATTTGTCATCTAAAAATTTATCTAGTACTTTTAAAATTAGTAAACTGGTCTCTCACGATATCATATTTTTATTATATTTTCTCTACTTATAATCAATATTAGTTTCAAACATTTTCAATGACAGTATATTGTCATTTGTAACTTGTAATTATGTTTAATTCATCAAAGGTGAAATTGTTAAATGAAAAATAAAATTACAAATATTAACATTTCATTGAAATTATAAAAGATTTGTGCAGACACTTACGGAATTGAATATGGTGTGAATAATGGAAGAATTGTTCTTCAACTTGAGTTCACATTTCGTCCGATCTTCCTTAATCAGCTTCAAAGTTAAATTAGCAGCAAGGAGCTATATAATATTGACTTTCTTTTCTAATGTAAAACATTAGAGTGCTTGGAGGTGGAAGGAGAAAAAAATTCAAGTGAAAGAGAAATCACTCTTGTAAAATTATAAGGATTAATCTAATATATATACACAAAAATAATGTTGATCCTAAACTTGCGACACTGGATAGCTTCGACTAACAAACTCCCGCAGGCCGGTAGATTGAATCGGTCATTGATTTTTTCACTAATTATTTAGGTGAGAAAAGTGGTGAAAAATACTTTCAATTTAGTCACTCAAGTTTAGGTGACAAAGGTGGTGAGTATAGTCACCACACTTTTTGGTGCCAAATTTAAGTGCCTAAATGAAGGTTTTTTTGTAGTGTACCCTGACCAGGACTGCCCTTGAGATATCGAAGAACCCGAATGGCAGCGTCCCAGTGATCTTGGCGAGGATTTTGCATGAACTGAGCAAGAGCATGAACAAAATAACTTAACTCAGGGCGAGTTAAAGTTAAATATATAAGCTTCCCAACTAAACGTCGGTAGGAGTCAGGTGTAGAAAGATACGAACTCTGGGACAAGGCTAGTTTTTGATTTTGCTCCATGGGAAAAGAGGAGGGCTTAGCACCTGAGAGACCGAGCTCTTCAAGAATATCCAAAGTATATTTGCGTTGAGATAAAAAAAAATGCCGGTAGAATTACGAGCCACCTCAATCCCCAAAGAATATTTGAGCCTGCCAAGATCTTTAATAGGAAAACGTACAGTTAGCAAGGTAAGCTTTTAAAAGACCAATGGTGTGAGAATTCGAGCCGGCAATAAGAAGATCATCAACGTAGACAAGAACACATAAGAAATCATTGTCTTTGTGCATAGTAAATGAAGAATAATCAGCATAGGACCGCTTGAACCCATAACTTAGCAGACATGCGCTAAGTTTCGCAAACCAACACCTTGGAGCTTGGCGTAAACCATAAAGTGAACGACGGAGACGACACACAAGGCGAGGTTGTGCACAAGTGAAACCCGGCGGTGGGTACATATACACTTCCTCATCAAGAGATCCGTGAAGAAAAGCATTATCAACATCCATTTGATGAAGTTCCCACCGTTTCGAGGCAGCAACGGCAAGAAGAGTGTGGACAGTAGTCATCTTGGCAACAGGGGCAAATAACCAATCGAGCTTTAAAGCGTTCAATAGAGCCAGAACTATTATATTTAATTTTGTAGACCCATTTGCAATGAATAGGCTTTTTATGAGTGGGTAATTCAACTAAAGACCATGTCCCATTTCGTTCTAGTGCATCAATTTCAAGACGCATAGCCTCGCGCCAACGCGGGTCACGACGAGCTTCCCGATAGGAAGAAGGTTCCTTTTCAACTGAAGTTGCTGCAAGAAAAGCTCGGTGGTGTACAGAAAAATTGTTATAATTAACATAATAAGCAAGGGGATAAGAAGTACCTGAGGCCACCGAAGGAGAAGTGACGAGGGGGGTCTACTTGAGCGGCATAAGAGGTCGCGTAATCGTTAAGGCGTACAAAAGGAGTCTTCTTTCGATGACCGCGTCCACGTGGGGAGAGAGATTGGCCGCCAATTGTGGAGTCATCTGGCAGTGCGGTATCAAGTGGACGCTCATCAAGTATGTCAGCTTGTGGGGCACAGTGTGTGTAAGAACTTTGCTGGTCAACGTGCATTATCCAAAGAAGAACGTTGCATGTGTTCAAAGGCTCCACTCCATGAGGTCACCTCATCATCAATATTGTTATGAGGCAAATAATTTGGCTGGGATGGAGTTATAGACGTGGGACATTCAGATTCCAAAGTGGAGAAAGGAAAAACGTGTTCCACGATTTGTACATCTCTCGAAACAAAATGCATCTTGGACTGTAAATCCATCCTCGTTGTGTATACGAATAACCCAAAAACACACACTTGCGACCACGTTCTTGAAATTTGTCCTTGTCTTTAAATGCAACGTAGCACAAACACCCGAATATCATCATAAGAAGGAGCAATTTTATACAACATTTCATATGGTGTTTTCCCAGCATTTATCAAAGATGGAGTGCCATTAATTAAAATACAATCTCCCCAAAACTGAATAGGTAAATTTGCCTGGAATCTTAAAGCACGGGCAACATTGAGAATGTGACGATGTTTTCTTTCAACACGTCCATTTTGTTGAGGTGTGCCAACGCATGAAGTTTGAAATAAAATACTTTCTTCTTGAAAATAAGAGCGCAAAGGATGAATGAAATTCTGTACCATTATCGGCCCGGACAATTTTAACTCGAGTATCAAATTGATTTTTCACCATAGAAAAGAATCGCCGCATGATTAATGGAACTTCGGATTTTTCAGTCATAAGATGAACCCATGTCGCCCGCGAATAATCGTGTAAAAAAATAACGAGATCCACAAGTACTAGGTTCCCGATATGGCCCCCAAGCATCACAATGTATCAACTCGAATATATTTAAAGCACGGTTGGTACTAACGGGAAAGCATTCACGTGTCTGTTTAGCCCTCATGCAAACATCACAATCTTTATTAAAACAATTATTACTAACAGAATTCTTGATAGAAACGGGAAGCAAACGAACCACTCTTGATGCGCCCTATACCACACAAATAGTAGACCCCACCACGGCGCTCACCCGCTCCAATCAGCGTCTTCAATGTGAGGTCCTGTATCACACAATACTTATTAGTAAATATAACAAAACATGATAGATCATCGATAAGGCGTCCTACCGAAATGAGATTACACAAACATATAAAACATTGTTCAAATATATTCCTGGCCCCAATTTCACCCGTCCGCAATGTGTTGCTTCTGTTACTTCCCCATTGGGTAAAGTGACGGGTGAGGTTGAGATAGGCTGTAAATCGGAGAGCAAGAATTTTGCTCTAGCCAGCCATATGGTATGAGGCACCTACCCGTGTCAAGCATCCACGGGATACCAAATTTCGCATCTACAATTCCTTCACCTGAATTTTTAGTGCTCTTTACATAGGCCATAAACGAAGCCCACTGCTCACTTGTCAATGTGGGCACATCACTTTTATTTGGTCTAACACCGGCCGAATCATTTGTTAGAAATTAAACTTGGCTTAGCCCAATCATTGGGTCCATTAGAAGTTAACTTATTGGGCTAATAGTTGTATGAGAAATAATAAATTAGTTAGCCCATAAGTTAGAGTTAGTAAAGAAAGATCTAGAGTAGTCTTTAGTCAATGCACTTATTAAATAATTCTAGAATGTTCCTAATCTAGAATTATATGGAATATTGTAGAATCTTAAGGAAATAGGAGTGCCTAGAAGGATCCTATGAGACCTATAAATAGAGCACTCCTCACTCATTTGTAATACAAGTCAAAAGCTCCAAATCAATAAAAGTTCCAAGTTCTTTCAAAAATCATCTATCTCTAAAAATTCTCTCTTCCACACACAATCACCTAAATACAATACTCATAAACTCCTTTATTCCAACAAAGTGGTATCAGAGCCATCAATCCTTTCAAGAAAGATGAATGCCAACGGCTTACTTCCCTTCCAATTTCCTCGTCTCACCAAAGATAACTACTCTAGTTGGTGCATTCGCATGAAAGCCTTGCTAGGATCTCAAGATGCATGGGAGATTGTTGAGAAAGGTTATGAGGAACCTCAAGATGATGCTACTTTAAATCAATCCCAAAGGGATAGTCTCCAAAGGAGTAGGAGGAAGGATCAACAAGCTCTCACTCTCATATATCAATGCTTAGACGAGGCCATGTTCGAGAAGGTTGCAAATGCCACCACTTCTAAAGAAGCATGGGAAATACTTCATAATTCTTTCAAGGGAGTAGACAAGGTGAAGAGAATTCGTCTTCAAAATCTTAGAGGTGAGTTCGAACAACTTAAAATGAAATATTCGGAATCATTATCCGATTATTTCTCTAGAGTGTTGGGAATTGTAAATGAGATGAAGAGAAATGGGGAGGAACTAAAAGACATAACGGTGATTGAGAAAATCCTTCGCTCTCTCACCAAAGACTATGATTATATTGTGGTGGCCATAGAAGAGTCCAAGGATTTAGAGACCATGACCATTGATCAACTTATGGGCTCACTACAAGTCCATGAAGAAAGAGTTGTGAGAAATAAATCTGATGAATCATTGGAGCATTCCCTTTACTCCAAGCTCTCTTTTAAAGAAAGAGGGGATAATAGAGGTGAAGAAAGAGGCCAACGAGGTCGTGGTTATGATCGAGGACGTGGTGCACGTGGAAGAGGTGGTCGAGGTCGTGGTTATACAAAATTCAACAATGAAGAAAGAACTCAATATACACAAGCATCTAGAGGCCGTGGGAGAGGAAGCAAACCACAAAGGTACGACAAGTATCAACTAAGATGTCATAATTGCAATAAATATGGTCACTATGCATATGAATGCAAGAACTCTCATCATGTTAAAGAAGAGGCACATCTCATGGAGATGAATAACGAGGTAGAACTTACCTTGTTGATGGCAAATCATGAAGAACAAGCGAAGAAGAGCACATGGTATTTAGATACCGGAGCTAGCAACCACATGACGGGAGATAAAAGCTTGTTCGTGAAGGTGGAACATACTCAAGGTCATGTTACCTTTGGAGATGAATCGAAAGTCGTGGTGAATGGTAAAGGTAACGTTCTAATCCGCCTAAACGATGGAAGTCATCAATTCATTTCCGATGTCTACTATGTGCCCAACTTAAAAACAAATATTCTAAGTATGGGACAACTCCTAGAAAAGGACTATGATATTCACTTAAAGAATCGTAGTCTTTCTCTACGAGACAATAATGGGAGACTACTTGCTAAAGTGCCGATGACTAGAAATCGAATGTTCTTGCTTGATATTCAAAAAGATCAAGCCATATGCTTGAAAAGTTGCTTGAAAGATGAGTCATGGATTTGGCACTTAAGATATGGGCACTTAAACTTTGGTGGCTTAAAAATGCTATCGTCCAAAGGCATGGTAAAAGGTTTGCCATTCATCAACCATCCCGATCAGCTATGCGAAGGATGCCTACTTGGGAAGCAATCAAGGAAACCATTCCCTAAAGAAGTTGCCTCAAGAGCTAAGGAGCCATTGGAGTTAGTCCATACCGATTTATGCGGTCCTATTACTCCATGTTCTCATGGTAAAAGTAAGTATTTTCTCACTTTCATCGATGATTACTCAAGGAAAACATGGGTATATTTTCTTAAACAAAAATCAGAGGCTTTTGAAGCATTCAAGAAATTTAAAGCTCTTAATGAGAAAGAAAGTGGGTACGTTATTAAAGCCATGAGATCAGATCGGGGTGGAGAGTTCACATCAAAGGAGTTCAATCAATTTTGTGAAGATAACGGCATCCGCCGTCCCATGACTGTCCCACGCACACCACAACAAAATGGTGTTGCCGAAAGAAAGAATAGGACTATCCTCAACATGGCCCGAAGCATGCTAAAGACGAAGAATATGCCTAAAGAATTTTGGGCTGAAGCTGTGGATTGTGCCGTCTATCTTCAAAATCGCTGCCCCACGAAGAGTCTAGATGGAATAACTCCACAAGAAGCGTGGCATGGAGGTAAACCCGGAGTCTCGCACTTGAGAGTATTTGGATGCATTGCATATGCTCATGTTCCTGATCAGACTAGATCAAAACTCGATGACAAGAGCGAGAAGTTCATATTCATTGGATATGACAAACACTCAAAAGGGTACAAACTCTACAATCCGGATTTGAAGAAGCTTATAATAAGTCGTGATGTGGAGTTTGATGAAGAAGGCTCATGGAATTGGAGCATTGGCGACAAAGAAGATTATAGCCTCTTACCATCCATGGAATATGATGAAGAAGTTGAAGAGAATCATGAAAATATAACTCCTCCACAATCTCCAACTCAAGCTCAATCTTCGCCACCAAGTTCAGATGAAAGAGAAGTACCACGCATGAGAAGCATTGAAGAGCTTTACGAGGTAACACAAAACCTGAACTCAAATGATGAACTTACACTCTTTTGTCTATTTGGTGATTGCGAGCCACTAAGTTTTGAAGAAGCCACAAGAAACAAGAAGTGGAGAGATGCAATGGATGATGAGATTAAGTCCATTGTGAAGAACAAAACATGGGAGCTAGCCACACTTCCATCAAATCATAAAGCAATTGGAGTGAAGTGGGTATTTAAGATCAAGAAAAATGCAAAAGGGGAGGTTGAGAAGTACAAGGCAAGACTAGTAGCCAAAGGCTACGCCCAAAGACATGGCGTTGATTATGAAGAAGTTTTTGCGCCCGTTGCTAGATTGGAAACAATAAGATTGATAATTGCACTCGCGGCTCACAACAAGTGGAAGATACATCAAATGGATGTCAAGTCCGCATCCTTAAATGGGTTCCTAGAAGAAGAAGTCTACATTGAGCAACCCGAAGGTTACAAAGTCAAAGGGAAAGAAGATAAAGTGTTAAGGCTAAGAAAGGCTCTTTATGGGCTTAAACAAGCACCAAGAGCTTGGAATAGTAGAATTGACCAGTACTTCCAAGCTAATGGATTCATGAAGTGTCCACAAGAACATGCACTATATGTAAAGAAAAATCGTCAAGGAGACATATTGCTCGTGTGCATATACGTGGACGATCTCATCTTTACAGGTAATAATATGACGATGTTCGATGAGTTTAAACAAGTCATGACAAGGGAGTTCGAGATGACTGACATTGGGCTTATGAGTTACTATCTTGGCATCGAGGTGAAGCAAATGGATGATGGTATATTCATCACTCAAGAAGGATACCCGAGAGAAGTACTCAAGAAGTTCAACATGGAGGACTCCAAACCTGTAAGTACACCTGTTGAAAGTGGATTAAAGCTATCAAGGTATGATAAAGAAAAATTGATTGATCCAACTTACTTTAAGAGTCTTGTGGGGAGCTTAAGATACTTAACATGTACAAGACCGGATATTCTCTTTGGTGTTGGACTTGTTAGTCGATTCATGGAGGCCCCTACAACAACTCATTTGAAGGCGGCAAAAAGAATTTTGCGATATCTCAAAGGCACCGCCGAATATGGGTTGTTTTACTCTTCATCTGATGAGTTTAAGCTGGTTGGATATTGCGATAGTGATTGGGGTGAAGATATCGATGACCGCAAGAGCACAACTGGGTTCGTGTTTTACCTGGGAAACACCGCTTTCACATGGGTTTCAAAGAAGCAATCGATAGTCACTCTGTCCACTTGTGAAGCCGAGTACGTTGCAGCAACATCAAGTGTTTGTCATGCAATTTGGCTCAGATACATATTGCAAGCTCTCAGCATGTCTCAAGAAGAAGCAACAACAATATTCGTGGACAACAAGTCAGCTATCGCATTAGCAAAGAATCCAGTTTTTCATGATCGAAGTAAGCACATAGACACTCGATATCATTTCATTCGGGGAAAGATAGCGAAGAAGGAAGTTCAAGTAGAGTATGTGAAGACTCAAGACCAAGTCGCTGATATTCTCACAAAGCCACTCAAGCATGATGTCTTTGCAAAGATGCGGGATCTACTTGGTGTTGCTAAGTCAAGTTTAAGAGGGGATGTTAGAAATTAAACTTGGCTTAGCCCAATCATTGGGTCCATTAGAAGTTAACTTATTGGGCTAATAGTTGTATGAGAAATAATAAATTAGTTAGCCCATAAGTTAGAGTTAGTAAAGAAAGATCTAGAGTAGTCTTTAGTCAATGCACTTATTAAATAATTCTAGAATGTTCCTAATCTAGAATTATATGGAATATTGTAGAATCTTAAGGAAATAGGAGTGCCTAGAAGGATCCTATGAGACCTATAAATAGAGCACTCCTCACTCATTTGTAATACAAGTCAAAAGCTCCAAATCAATAAAAGTTCCAAGTTCTTTCAAAAATCATCTATCTCTAAAAATTCTCTCTTCCACACACAATCACCTAAATACAATACTCATAAACTCCTTTATTCCAACATCATTTTCGTCATGCAAAACTGCATTAG